TGTGTGTGTGTGTGTGTGTGTGTGTGTGTGTGTGTGTGTGTGTGTGTGTGTGTATTCCATGTGTGTGTATATGACAGACATCAACTTCTGGTATCATTCCCTGGGATCTGTCTACATTATATTTTTAGACAGGGACTTTCACTGGGACCTGGAGCTTGATGAGTAGCTCAAGCTAGCTGGCCACTAATTCTCATCAATCTTCCTATCTCTATCTCTCCAGTATTAGTATCACATGTCACTACATCCAGCGTTTTACTTAGGGGTAGGGGATTAAACTCAGATTCTCACGCTTCATGTGCAAACACTTTACTTACTGAGCTATCGAAAGAAAATATTCTAAGGCAAACAAAACATGTTTAAGGAGTCACAATTATGTGCAAAGTTATTATTTAATGAGTACCAATTTTGATGCTGGACGGTCACGTAACAGTATGAATGTTCTTATTGCAATTGTAGATGTAAATAAATTTTTGTGACTATGTATATTTTACCACAATAAAAAAACACAGCTGCAAATTCTCAAATTGGCAAGTTAATGAAAACAACATGGTAGTTACAGGAAAATAGTCACTTTACACCCAAATTCCTCCAGCAATATATTTTTATGTCCTTTAAATGTCAAGAAAACATTAGTTTATCCAAGAAATATCTCATGAGCAACTTCTGTGGCTTAGGAAATGAGGATAGGTGAATGAAGAGAACAGAAAATCATCCCTTCGCAGAGCATTTGTTAATTCATCCGTTCACATGCCCTCCACTGTCTGTCTACCATTTGTCCAGCTCTCTATGAGGTTCCAGTACAGTGGTGAAGAAGCGTCACTTTGAACAAACCATTCCTGCATCATGAAGCTTCTGGCTCAGTACACGAGACAGGTGCTAGTCAAGTAATCACAGCACTGGGACTGAAGAGCCAGTACTGAAAGGCAGACTTGTATTTGTCCTTGAATATCTGAAGACAAGGACTGGTTTAGTGCAGGACAGCTTTCCTGGGGAAAGGGCAGCTGTGCTGAGACCTCCAGGACTAGAGAAGGGACAGTGTGGAAAGAATTATGAAGCTGGAGGCCTGGTCAAATGAGGGCTTGGGGGACACACAAGGCCTAACCCCCAGAGCCCTGCAGCTCTTTAGGGCAATGGGAGGCCACTGATGTGTATTGGGGGGGGGGTCAGGAATTGAAAAAGATGATCAGAAAGCATATTCATTTTAATAGCTAGCACCTGAAGAATGAAGCCAAGAACTCCAACTGGGCCCCTGTGCAGTTAAAAACAGGAGTGAAGCACCTGAAAGCCTTCTGGTGAAAGTCAGAACTTAGGATATCAAAGAATTATCATGATCAGGTAAGAAATTTAAGCAGACTTCTACCTTAATTTTTTCATGTTTATTAAAATCTTTGAGATCCCATTATATAACCTACTAAAAGCTGGATTTTATTAAAAGTAACTTACCTGGACTTGTGAGTCTAGTAAATTCATTTGCAGATATTTGGGTGGAAAAAGCACAGTGGAGATGTTTGAGTAAATAAAGTATATTAAAGTTCACAAGGCATGAATATGTAGTCATCTTTTCCTAACACAGAAAGTGGCAAATGGAAATCTAATTATTGAACTAATTTGATTAGTATTTAAGAATATGAATCAAAGAGCACACATTAGTAGGATTTATTCCTTCAAGGTATGGTTATCAGTTAGGTACTATTAAATGGGAAAAACACTGACTTACAATATCACATGCCCAGAGAAGACAGATGTGATAAAAAAAAAATCTGCTTTTCATATGTATATTCCTTCTATACAAGAAATGAATTCTGAGAACCTCCAGTGGATACCTGTAGCATAGGCTAGTAATAACCCTTTGTATTGCCTTCACTATTTAAGGAGGATTTGCTCTAGCTGTGCAAATTTCAAACTTGAAGGATAAAATACCATAGCATGTGAACATAGCCTTCAACATCCTCCTGAATGCTTTAAATCACTTCTAGGTAATTTAGAATACTCAGTGTAAAGCTATGTGAACATTGGCTGCATTGTGCTGGCTAGGAAGACTGACATGAAGGACAGTTATACATGTTCAATAGAGATAACTTTTCAAAAAGAACATTTCCATCCAAACTTGCTTGAATTCAAGTGTTCAGAGCCCATGGATATAGAGAACTAACTGTACTATATCTGCCCAACACATATCTCTGATAAAATTTAGGTTAGAAATCAGGCACAGTAAAATATTTTCAATAATGACATTGTCAGGTGGAAGAGATGGCTCAGTGGTTAAGAGCACTGGCTGCTGCATTAAATATGTAAGGTCTTATCTACGTGCAATATAGTGCAATAAAATTATTTCAAATGCACAAATTGCTTTTTTTTCTGGACATCTTTTAATATTTTCAATTGGCTTTGGGGAGGTGAAACCTTGGAAAGTGAAACCACAGATCAGGTGGAGCTATTGAAATTAAGATGACCACATGATCAGTAACTTATGCAAACCTTCTGCAAGCAAGTTACAGAGGATCTGTGCATGTCAAACTTGGGATACAAGAAGGATCAGGAAATACCAAGTGATGGGGGAGATCCTTATTAGTTGATCAATAAAGTACTGTTGGCCAATAGGAAAGCAAAATAGGTGGGACTAGGAGTCAAGGAGGATTCTGGGAAATGTAGTAAAGAGATCCAGACAGGAAGTGACATAGCAGGCAGACTCAGAATATAAGCAGGAACAAGAAGGAAATCGTCCTCTTGCTCTTCCTCTTCCTCCTGCTCTCTTCTCTACAGAGCCGACATGTGATCCTGGGAAGAGGACGCCAGTGGAAAGCATCCTTGATAAGTCTTATAAAGTATATAAATTTATGATAATTAAGACTGAGTTAGCAGATAAGAAATCCTAGTCAATTGACCAGCAGCATTGTAAACTAATATAAGACTCTGTGTGTTATTCTGAGCACCCATGTTGCAGTGGGGCTTGGGTGTATGGAGTTAAGACTTATTGTAACAACCAAGCTTTGCATATGCACTGAGATGACCTGACCCCTAAACAGTGCAGCACAACTCCAGACCACAAAGCTCAACAGCATCCCTCAGACTTGACTTATATAATTCATCTTTTTTTTAATCAATTTCATTTATTCAGATCTGCCTTAATTACTTTAAGGCAGTGGCTCTCAGCCTTCTAGTACTTTTACTCTTTAATATTGTTCCACATGTTGTAGAGACCTCCATCCATAAAATTAATTTCATTACTCCTTCATAAATGTAATTTTGCTACTGTTATAAATCATGTTGTAAATACTTTTGGAGATAGATGTTTGCCAAAGGGATCACCACCCACAGGTTGAAAGCCACCCCCCTAAGGATTAAATAAACATAGTCAGAGAACTGTTTCAAGATAAAATGTGACTTCAGTCACATTTTATTACAAAGAACAAAAACTTGTAACAATAAGCCTTTACTCCATCTGCCTGAGCCCCACTTCCATGTGGGTACTTCTGCCAGGCCACCCAAGTTCTGCCCACCACCATATTATGGTCCCAAGTAACACAGAGAGACTTATATTAGGTATAAATGCTGCTTGGCAAACTGACTAGGATTTCTTATATGTTAGTTCAGTCTTAATTATCATAAATCTATATATTTTATAAGACTTATCGAGGATGCCTTCCACTTGTGCCCTCTCTTGCTGGCAGATTACATGGTGACTCTAGGGCAGAGACTAGGAGGAAGAGCAAAGGAGTGACTTCCGTCTTGTCCTTACTTATATATGAGTCTGCCTGCTATGTCACTTCCTGCCTGGATCTCTACTACATTTCCCAGCATCCTCCTTGACTCCTAGTCCCACCTAACTTGCTGCCTCATTGGCCAGACAGTACTTCATTTATCAACCAATAACACAAACACATACACAGAAGCACTTCCCCCATCACAAACTTGCTTGGTTTTATGGGTCCTTGGGTCTATAGCTTCCTTCCTGAGAGTATTCTGCCATCATCCCTTTCTGAGACTGGGCCTCATGAACATTGCAAAGTTTAATATAATTTAATTCAAAACCTGGGGATGTTATTACTCTATCAAATAATATTCTTGCCATTATTGGATTTTAAAACTTGTAAACTTTTCATGGGCAACATTCTCCTTTAAAGTGAACACTTAAGTGCTCAATTAAATTATCAGTTTGTATCAAAGCTGCATCATCTGTTCTAGTGTGTTTATTTGTATTGTTGCTTGTATTGTTATGATTATAAGGCTGACAGTAGAGACAGGTAACAATGCAGTGAAAGCTATGAAAGCAACAATAAATGAGATTGAATGCATTCCCCTAATAGGGATATAGAGAAAAATGTCATAGAAAGAATGATTTGGCTTTGCATTAACATTGTCACTGGGAGTGAACAAACCTCATTTTACAGAAGGAATGTAAAAAAGCTATGAATTTTTTCCAGCATCTGGACCAAGAGAAGACATGTCCTCTTCAAACCCAGCAAATTACTAGGGGCTCAAAACTCTTTTGAAACATTCCACTTTTCCAGTCTCCTTTAGATTCAGATGACAACTTATAAGTAGTCCCTTCACCTTTATATTTCCTCATAACTTCCTATTTGACATGTTCCTTGAATTGAACTTGAAGTCTTTCACAGGCCATGCTAGAAGGGAAAAGGAAAGGGACCTCACAGAAATGAAGGAATAAGAGTTTGAATTTGATTATTCTTCTCCCATGTTTCCATGATATTGATTGGACCCAGGATCTTCTCACCAAGGATTTTGTTTTTATTTCTTAATCACACATGCAATTATCTATGTATGGATTTTTTAATTTTAGCTGTACTGTATTTTTTGAACCAAATGGATTTTCCAACCATTAAAATGCAAGTTCTATCAGGTTTTAATTATGGCTTGGGGTAGGAGGTTATACCCAGTCACAAGTCAGCCCCTTCTTACAGATGCTTATAATAGTAATATCACAGCAGATTATTCTAATCCTGGTCAATATCAAAATTGCCTTGGGAGTCTCAAGTCACTCAGTTCTCTTGTTCAGTTTCCAAATTTAAGGTAATAAAACCTATCTTAGGGAAATCTGGAATATCATTAGTTCTGGGCCACTAACTCTAGTTAAGTCCATATGTGAAGTCATCAGTTTAAAGGGGGGCATCAGTAATGCAATGTGGCCTCTATTAAGTACACCAGCATTTACAAATAAAGCAATCAAATTATGAACTTAATAGCTAACTGGGTGGCATTGGGTAAATGGCTTCCTCTCTGTGTACACAATGTGTTAAGCATCCTGACCTATCTCTTCGGATATCTGGGGACAATTCATGTAGGAGTTGTCTAAATGCTGTATAAATGTTGGGGGTGCTACAAGAGCTTGGCTTTATAGTCACTGGAAAGCCACCAACATAGTAAAGAATTCAGAGGTATAGTGAGAGGTGAGTTAACAAAGCAGGGTCTACACTAATGTAAGGGCCCTCTGATCTTGAACTACTAGACTTGAAACATTGCACATATTGGAATGTGAATGAGATTTACATTTCCAAAGAAACAGTGTATTTGTTCATGCATTTCTCATTCAATTCCTTTACTTTGAAAATCATTACTGTGAAACACACAGTTTCCATCTCCACCTACATCCCTTTCTTGGCATTCTCTCTTGGCTATCTGAACCACTTCTATTTAAACACCACATGGGAAGTACCCAAGGCCTTCCCTTTTGAATTAACCATCCAGGAAAATTCTGACTTTAACTATATATTCAGCAAATTTATTTTACTTTAAAGTGATTTTTAATTGTATAATCCTCAAGTTTTCATTTTTCTTACATAAAGTAAATATTCTTCTTTAATTTCCACCAATCCTTTAACTCATCTGTCAAATAGTATAATCACAAACTGGGCACTGTTCTGTATTTTAGTGATAACAATGACTAAAACAGTCAGAAATCCCTATTCTCAGATGGCTTACAATCACATAGGGTAAAGACATACAGGTACCAAAAAAAAACTCATAAATAATATAGTAGGTTAGAAGAAAAATAAGAATAGTGAGAAAATGGGAGTGCAAAGATGAAGAGGGATTACAGTTTTAATTAAGAAACTACTACCTCTTGTAAAGTGATACTAGGGGCAAGCGAGATGGCTCAGCTGGTAAGATGATGACTGTGAAAACATGAGGACCTGAGTTCAAATCCCTAACATTCATGGAAAGCCAAATGTAGTGGCATTTAACTATAAGTCCAAAACTCTGGTGTCAAAGAAAGACAGATACCCAGAGCTTCCTGGCCGGCTAGTCTACTCAACTGACGAGCTAGAGAAGAGACCCTGTTTCAAAAAATGAGGAGGAAAATAATCTGTATTGATTTCTGAACACATACACACACCGTGAGCAGAGGGGCCATTGGAGAAGCACTTTGTAGGCTGAGCAAGGGGGTCTGGCAAATGTGAAGGCCCTGAGGCAATTGTTGTGGTTTGAATGAAAATGGCCCCTATAGGCTCACATGGGGTGGTACTATTAGGAGGTATGGCCTTGTTGGGGAAATTATCACTGGGAGTGGGCTTTAAGGCTTTAAAATCCCAAGCCAGGTCCCTTGTCACTCTCTCTTCTTGTTGCCTGCAGATCCAGATGTAGAACTCTCCCCTATCTCTCCAGTACCATGTCTGCCTGACTGCAACCACGTTTCCCTCCATAATGATACTGCACTAAACCACTTAACTGTAAACCAGCCCCAATTAAGTATTTTCCTTTATAAGAGTTTCTGAGATTATGGTGTCTCTTCACAGCAATAGACACCCCAACCAAGACAGAAGTTTGTACCAGGCTCTGGGGTATGGCTGTGATAGTCTGGACCATGTCTTCCTTAGCCAGCAGGGCAACAAGGAAGAATTTGATGGGTTCCAGAAGTCAGGGGTGAAGTCAGCAACCTCCGTTGTCAACAACTTCTACAATCCACCTGAATCTGAATCCACTTTACATCTCTGTCTGTCTGTCTGTCTGCCGATGTCTGTCTGTCTGTCGCTGCCACCCCCGCCAAACTCCCTGCACATGTGTGTGTGACTGTCTGTCTGTGTGTCTATGTTTTTGTTTCTGTCCGTATGAGTGTGTGTGTGTGCGTGCGTGCGTGCGTGCGTGGTGTGTCTGTGTCTATGCCTGTGTGTCTATGTGTGCGTGTCTTTGTGTATGTATGTGTGTATGTCTGTGTCTATGCCTGTGTGTGTGTCTTTGTGTGTGTGTATGTCTGTGTGTCTGTGTGTCTGTGTATTGTGTGTCTCTGTGTGTGTGTCTGTCTGTGTATACGTGTTGCGGAGGGTCAAACCCAGAGCACTGCAGATTGTCAACTGGTTTTCGTATGCTCTTAACAATATTACCTGAAGATGTTGACTTTAATTCCTGGAATTAAGATCTAGTACTTGCTTATCAGCCCTAGCCAGCACCAGAACAGGCATGGACAGGTTCCTTTCCCTGTGCAGAAGGAGTAGGCTGCAGCTACACAGCCTTCCTTGCTGACCAGGAAGCTGTCAGAAAGCACCACTTTCCTAATGGCAGACTCTGAAAATGGCCCTTGTGAGAAAAGGAAAAATATCCCTTAGTCTTTGCAGCAGTGATTCTCAACCTATGGACTGCAGACCCTTTGTGGGTCAAATGACCCTTTTATAGGGGTCACCTAAGACCATCAGAAAACACAGGTATTTATACTATGGTTCATAACAGTAGCAAAATTACAGTTATGAAGCAGCAACAAAAATAATTTTATGGTTGGGGGTCACCACAACTTGAAGAACCATGTTAAAGGGTCACAGCATTAGGAAGTTTGAGAACCCCTTATACTAGCTAGCCTAGGAGAAAACCCTCTGGCAACATCAGCACTATCAGAACAGATAAAATGTGAAGGCAGAGAATTGAGTAACACGACATCCTTTCAGATGAGTGGGAGAGCTCTCACTTTTAATCTACTCTCGGCTTTTAAAATGATTAACTTCCACTGCATAAGTACCTTTTATTAGTGAATTATTCTTTCAATTAGTTACCTTTATTTTCTTTATCATCGGTGAGTTAACATAAGAAATTCTATCTGTTCACATTCATTTACACCCCTCCCCCGAGATTGGGCTTCCTCCCAGCCTGTGTACTTCCGGCTCCTTCTCTTGCTTTTTAATGGTGTTTCTAGTGACCCTAGAGGCTTGCCCTGGCTTGCTCCTCCTCTCTTGCAGCATTGTCCTCACAGGCCATTTTCTTTAGGAAGTTTTTCCGGCTGTTCTCTGAAGAAGTGCAATATCTAATTCTCTTTTTCCCTTTTCTGCTTATTTTTCTCTTTAGCACTTATCATGCTGCATATTTTATGGGCCTCACTTGTTTCTTGCCACATACACCAGGACATCAGCTTCAAGAGAGCCGGGATATTTTCTATTTTGTTCATGCTTTATCCCTAGTGTCAAGAACTACACCTAATGTAGTGGCAAGAACTATATCTAATGTACTACACCTAATGTACACATAATGCACTAAGAATTACACCCAATGTAGTATCAAGAACTAGACCTAATGTAGTAGCAAGAACTACATACACTTAATGTACACATACTTTACTAAGAATTGCACCTGATGTAGTGTCAGGAGCTACATCTAACGTACTAACCTAATGTATACATAACATACCAAGAACTACACCTAATGTAGTGTCAAGAACTATACCTAGTGTCAAGAACTACACCTAAAGTAGAACATTAACAAATGTTTGTTAAGTCAATGAATTACTCCCCAATGTGGTAACATTATGTGTGAGCTTGAAATGCTATAATTAAGAGGTCAGGCTTACCCAGCACTTCTGGAAGGAGACACAAAAGAATATGATAGCTTTACCTTGAAGGGAAATATTTGCCATGTTATTTATATACAATTTCATAGTTATTTTTTTGAGATAGAGTCTCTCTCTAGTCCAGGCTGAACTAGAACTCACTATGCTATATAGTGTAGGGTAGCCTTGAATTCAAAGTAACTCTCCTGCCTCAGTCTCCCAGTTGCTGTGGCTGTAGGCATGTTTGCCTCAGTCTCCCAAATGCAGATACTATAGGCATGCACCACTACTCCTACCTCTCATCCATCTTTAAATCGTTAGAGTTTTAAAAATCACTCAGATGTCTCAGTACCATGGGTAATAGGTCATTTAAAATAACCCATGGGTGTGTGAAAATATACCTATAGAGAAAACTATATCCATTGAAACACACAAAATAAATAGAAAAGGAAACCATTCTATCTTGGGGATGCTCAGACAATGTCATGCACAATAGGACTGACAGAGCTGGTTATACTGGTGCTGGAGACATCAGTGATTGGTGCTTCTCACTAAGCAGGGCATGTTAAATAATGAATTGCAAACCAAGCAAGAAAATGTTCCTATAGCCAAGTCTTGCAAAGCATTTCGGTATTTCAGTTTCAAGGCAGTTTGGAGTTAAGTATGACCCAATATGTTATTTGTACAGAGATTTCTTGAGGAAAATCGAAGCCCAGTAGGAATTCAAAGGGAACCAGGCTGACAAAGCAGCAGCATTAAACTCTGGCCACAGTTATCTGCAGAAGAAAGTTCATGATGAAAAGAAGTCTGGTAAGTGAAGGCAGCCCAGTATCAGAAGTAAGTAATATTTTTGATACAATTTGAATGAACTAGAGTCCTAAACTATACATTAAGGGAGAATTTATATATCTGATCATTAATCTTCTGGAAATGAGTAGAAATTTAAAGTTTGTGAAAAGTGCTCTAAATTCTGACTGACAGTTACCAGGCACAGAAATTCCTTAGAAGAATCCAGAGACAGGAATACGCTGCACTGAAGTTATGGGAACTTGGGAACGGAGGGAAGCAAGAACTTCCTGCATCATCTTGCCCTTAACTTACACTGTGCTATTTGGGTAACTTGCCCCTGATTCCCACTCTCGCTCATAAACTTCCACTTTACAACTAAACAGGCTTCGGTTTTATCTTTAATCTACCTAACACCAGCTGTTGCAGGAGCCTTCCTATTAAAGGCTTAGTCCAAATAGTCTGAGCATTAAAGCAAACACAGAGCCCATGGAAGCAGCTCAAGGCTGGGTACCAGGCTGGAATGCTGGGGGAATTCAGCTCTGCGTGGTCCTGGCTGGATGACTTAGGGCATGCTGCTAAGGCTCTTTAAGTCTTATCTTAAATGTGGCTAAGGCCTCCTCTCCTGCAGAGCCTACTAAGAGGATCAAACTGAATCTCACAAACTGGAAAGCTTGGGAGGGGTAGAAGTAAAATTTATGACTTTTATGTCATTTTTTTTACTGCCCATAGAAACTCTGACAATAGAAAGATTAGGCTTGGAAAATATGATATTTAAATATATTAGCTTCATTTGCAATTGCAATAAATTAGTATTTTCATGAATATATTAGGGATATAAAGCTTTATTTTGTGTTTTGTTTCATTTTTTAATAGCTTAGCTGCCTTTGTATAAACATACCTAATCCTCCATTTCATATTAAAAAAAATATTTTGGGGTCTACTGGGATCAAACTCAGGACCTCAAATGCTGCAGACAAGTGATTAAGTTCTATACCCCTCAACTCCCATGTTCCTTTTCAAAATGTTCAAAATCTTAGACACATATGCTAGGAACTGATGCACAGTCTTGCAGGGTATTTCCAGGCTTAAGTTAATAAATCTGATGATGGCCTTCTTTAAAAATGTGCCCCTGATCCAGCCCTTTCAACTTCTTGTTCAATGAACAATCTGAAATACTGCACAGAAAACAGGAAATCCCTGAGGAACTCAGGTTAAAACAGAGACAGTGGAACTAGAAGCCTTTCTTCTCATCCCAGAAGCATCACACAGCATTTATATCTTGTACACAGAAAGTACTATATACAAATATTATTTAAAATATCAGCAACAATATCAGAAAACCAAATATCAGAAAAGGGGGAGGGGATAAAGCCTAATTAGGCAATGGCTATTGAAAGCAAATATCTGAGCAATGACAAAATATATTGCAAAGTACATGTTAGGACATCCTTCTGATGTGCTCTCATAGCTAGCAAGGACCTACTTACATTTAATTTTTCTTTAAAATGTGTCACATTTTGCTGCCTCAAATATTCAAATCAAATCCACATGTCAATGCCCTATCAAAGACCCCCTTCCAAATGTTGAACAAACTAAGACAACAAACTGGTTTTAGAAAAAAAATTCCAATAACCAGATCAACACATGAAATAAAAGCAAAATCAATGAACAAAGAATACAAAGCCTAAGACAAGTCTTTTTGGCCAGTACATAATTCTAATTTCAGCTTAAGCTTTAAACAAATTATTCCAGTGACATCTGAGAGTGGGACGAAAAATCAATCTGTCCTGCTCAGCACAGCTGTCAAATATCACTTTCCAATGTAGACACACAAACCCAGATAGTACCTTAAAAATGAATTTACTCTATTGCTTTCCATTCCTCCCAGTGGCATAAAGAAAACCTTAAGCAGAGTGCCTATCCCAGCACATTTCAGCAGATAAAAGCCTTGGCGATGGAACCCTGTGGTAGACAGACTCTGTGCAGCAAAATGTTCAAGTCCCTCCCTGTTAGTCATTCCAAATCGGCTCAGGCCTCCCAGGGTGATCAGCCTGGCTTTGTGGCAATACAATGGAGTTAACCATTTCCTCCTTTCCATTTAGAAACCAAATCTGCTTAGCTGCTCACAATCATTTAGCAAAAAAAAAAAAAAAAAAAAAAAAAAAAAAAAAAAAAAAATTTTTTTAAATAATTTTTTCAGTAATGTTATTTCAAAAAAATGATATTTCCCCCACAGAGAAGGAATATAAGGAGAGTTTTCCTTTTCTCAAACTTAAATGAAAAAAAAAAATTAGAAGCCCCATGTGGCTATTTAGACAGTTATTTCTTAGAAGACCTAGCAGCAGCTCGAGACCAGCACACAAACACACACACACACACACACACACACACACACACACACACACACACAGCCTATATCCAGGTGACTTACAACATCCATTCTTTACTATGTTCACAAGAAACTAGAACCTCTCTTTAATTCAGTGCGAGATCCTGGTAAAATCAAACATCATAACTATCTACTTAGTTTCTTTCCCCTACTTATGTATTCCTAAATTTCCCTTCTTTTCTGCCCCCCTTCTGTATCTAGTCACTGTCAGTAACACATGCCTAGCAAATATGTAAGAATTTTTAAATGGTGTATATTATTATTTTGCAAGTCAGATAATACCATCGTATCAGTAGGTAACTACAAACAGCAAACAATGAGCTGCTGTTTAGTGAAATGCTCTTCTAACCTAGTGATGGGAGTGTTCTGAAATAATTAGTGTTAAGAGGGAAGGGAGGCCCATTGTTGGGGCTGCCCAGTCACAAAGTCATCTGCTTTCTGTGAGCATTTTTAATGTCACTTTTTAAGCTTTGGGGCTCTATGGAAAACCTTCAAGAGCAGTAGCTTTAGAAGTCACTCAGCAGCCCTTATTCCAACTTCAGGTATCTATTTACTCTATTTTTAGACGGTTATTCACTTTCTAAGATCAAATCTAAAAACCTGTTTTGTATTGCACACTGACTGCTGGGAACAATGTGTGGATATGTTTCTCTGAAACTCTTTTCAGTGGTCCTTAAGATCTGCTTAGATTAATGCCCAGTTCACAAAAGCACAATCAACCTGCAACCCAACCTCCTTTGAGGCACAATGTCAGAGACATGGCACAGGTCCTTCAAAGCCAACCAACTAGACCCCCCACCCCCCCCCCCCCCCCCCGCACATCTGAATATGTCCTAAGTAGCTTGCAATTATGCTTACAGAAATTTGCAAATAGAAAATAACTTCTCACTTTTAATCCTCATAAAAAATACAATGAATAGAGGAAGAAAGCTTTAAAGTTATTTCCCCTTCATTGTGCACCTGTGCCTCTGTGCATGTCTTATTACTAGCATCAACTGAGAGGGCCAACAATACCCAGCTGCCTGGTGCTGGGGTAGCTCACACCACTGACAACAAAAACATGCTGCACAGTACTGTTTACAGTCATTACCCATGTTGGTATTTTCCAATTGTGTCTTCACAGTGAATGAAAAGCTTTAAATGAACATTTCTATTGGAAAATAGAATTTGCTCATGCTTTTCTATGAACATGGGAACGTAGCCTTTTCCTTTCCTAGCTAGCTATTCCCACAGGTAAAAATAGACTCACATGCCAACTTGAAAGGCTATAAAGAGCGCTGTGAGCGCTACATAGAATGTGCTTTAAGCGGTGGCTGTGCTCTGCACAGTGAGGGCTGGATGGAGGGGAGAGGAGCCCCTATTATGCAGCTTGACTGGCCGAGCCTAATCAGAATTATTTCAGTACACTGCCTCAATACAGCTTCCGACCCATTAAATGCTAAATGTTTTTGCCAGCCTGAGTCGGCTCTGGCTCCCACTGTGTCCAAGTCTTTGCAACTGTGTTACACAGTAAGCTGTTCAAAACAGTTTTGGTTTTGTTGTTGTTGGGGAGCGTTGTGTAAATAAAGGGAGTGGGTTTAACAGACTCTTCAAAAATCCATCATCTTATCTGTTATTTATGACAATGGGTAACATCCCACTAGTTCAGACCTGTTATCCCACCATGCCGAAAGGGACTCTTTGAATAAATTCTTTATCATATTAATAAGAAAAATTGAATCACAGTAGCTACTACCATCACACCCCCGACCAAAAAAATAAAAAATAAAAAATAAATAAAAAATAGGCCATCCTTCCTTTCTTTAAGGCTGTGATTTGGGGTATCTCATTCCAAACTATTAGATTATTAACTTTTCTTATCCTACTTACTATATTCTCTATCAGGTGGCTCAAATTTGGGGACAAGTTTTATGATAAATCTTTCTGCCAAAAGCCGCCTGAGCCCCACTGCCACGTGTGAGCTTTACGCCAGCCGCCCACCCGAGTTAGGCCCAAATGAATACACAGAAACTTGTATTAGGTTCAGTTCTGCTTGGCCAACGACTAGGATTCTCATCTGTTAGCTCAGTCTCAATTATCATACATCTATATATTTTATAAGACTTATCAGACGCCTATTGGAGTCCCTCCTTGCTGGTGGATCACATCCTGCTACTGGCGGAGGTGAACGGGAAAGAGGGCCCCTTCCTGTTTCATCTTCACTTAAATATGAGTCTCCTTGCTATGTCACTTCCTGCCTGGATTATCATTTCTCTACTACATTTCCCAGAATCCTCTTTGACTCCTAGTCCCGTCTATTTGCTGTCTCATTGGCCAAACAGTATTTTATTTAACAATCAAGAAGATAAACATACACAGTACATTCCCCATCAGACAAGGATAGTGGCATGTTAGGACCCCAAATTACTTTCTGCTTCCCAGGTTCATCTCTCATGTCCTCATCTATCTATGTCTGGTGTGTAACTGACTTTTTACATGAGATGATAACATTCCATATCTTTCTTACACATATACTTCACTTCAATATCAAACACACAGTGAAATATGTATCAAGAGAGAGGTGACCAGGAAATTTAATGGTTATTTCTACTCAAATGTTATTGCTCTAACATACGTAACACCTGTGCAGAACACCCATCCTCAGTGTTTCCGTGCCTCATGAGTAAACAAGACCAATTCGATTATCTTCTTCTGTCCTTCGGGATAAAGGAGTGAATATATTCACAAACCACCCAAACCTGTACCTTCATGTATTAGCTATGCTATGCTAGTGTTTAATAGAGAAAAATAAATTCAATCCTCTGGGGAGGGGGTGAGCCAATAAGCTTCCAGAATAGAAGAGATCCACCCTGACCTCATCCACCTTCACAATCTTTATCTTTACATGGCTATTAGCTTTGGTTTGGGTTTGCTTTAGAGACAGGTGTATTAGCCCAGGATACCCTCAAACTCACTATGTAGCCCAGGATGACCTTGAACGTCTTTTTGACTCTCCCACCTCCACCTGGGTTCCTAGCTTTGTACTTCCACACTGGATTTCTGTATTACTGGACCAAGGGCCCTATGCGTGATAGGCGAGCACTCTATAAACTGAGATTCATTCCCAGTCCCTATTTAGCAGCTTCTCACATTTGTTCCAGGTTACACGTACTGCCTTTCTGTGCATTGTTTTGCAACTTTTCCTATGGCAAAATGTTGAATGCTGTTCATGTGAATTTCTGGAAGACAGCAATAGTAGGTTGGCTGTGACAAAGTTTGGGCTAAAATATCTGTAAGCCAGTTCATGAGCATGAGTGAACCTAAGTTTCTCTCCTGCACTCTGACATGCTCTGCCACACTCAGAGACTTGTGGGATTAAAAAGTTTCCTTTTCAGAGCTGTAAATCTGCAGAGTGCAGACAAGTTCAGTGTTGTGCCGCTTGGTAGAAATGCCACAAGACCCATCTGCTTCTGGATATAGAGATGACGATTAGGCATCCACAGAGTCCAATGGTACAGCAGCCTGCCATTCATGCCTTTCCATGAGTTACTAATAGGCAAAATGCCAAAGTTCTAGAAAGGCATTGTGAAAGCAAGCTAAGGAGAGAGACTAAAAAGAAACATATTTTTTGAGGAGGATGGGTACTTCTGTAGGTATGTTAGAGACAGAGATTGGATGTGTCTGAACATCTGCACTGCCAAATAATCACACCCAGAACTAGCTGTCTGATGCAGGCAGAGAAGCAAGTCCTCACTTTCACTGACTCCCACATTTGCTTTGTCTCCATCCCCAGCTCCCTGTCACACCCTCCCTACCTTGTTTAAAGTACTTACAAACCACTGCTTTAAATAAAGAACTCTGAAGTCTGGTGGTGGTGGCACAGGCCTTTAGTACCAACACCTAGAGGCAGAGGCAAGATGATCTCCATGAGTTTGAGGTCAGCCTGGTCTACAAGGCAAGTTTTAGGACAGCTAGGGCTATTACACAGAGAAACCTTGTCCAGAAAAACAAAACAAAACAATAGCAACAAAAGAAAATTTAGGAACCCCTACATATCTATTGTCATACAGCAGGGGTTTCAAGGCTTCAAGAACCCCCCACTAAATTAGACTATCACACTCTTCACCCATCTTCTCTTCCCTTAGACAACACCATAGGAAAGAAATGTCTTCACAGTCACCCATCTCCATTGTATCAGATGACCTTACAACTGTTGTCTAAACATGTGCATATGTGTGCATGATCACAGGCCCCACAGAGCAAGAGAGTCTTCTGCACTGATGTGTTTTTCTTCACAGAAGAGAAAGGATATTTTCTATTTTTCCCCTTTATAACAATTGAAAAAATTGAGTTTGTCTTCAATTCATCACCTGGCTGGTTCATGTCCTGTGCATCTGTTCCGCCAACTTCTTCGCTTTGCAATTTCCCTGCAGAGGCAAGAGGCTGGCTGGCTGCCCAGGAGGGAGAGAATCTTTGAAAATGCTCAGGAGAACGCAGTTTTGGCTATTTTGATCTCTCATCCATCCTTTGGACAAGGACAGAGTCTAGCTGCTTATCTCACAAGGAAGATTTCAAAGGTACAGCAACTTCTTTTGTCCCTTTTGAGCCAGGCCCAGAGGAATGAAGTGGAAAATGCTTTTCAGTGTTTTCAGATTTACTGCTCTCCTGCAGCTGAAGCAAGGACCCTGACTGTCACTATAAACTGACTGCACAGGATTTTTCGTTTATCTCAAAGTACATTCCTGGGGGAGACCACAACTCACACATAGGAAGATACATGACCTACATTGCTCCAATAAATGGCCACAGCTGCCCTTTGTTGTCTGAATTCTTTGTTTCTCCCTTTTATTTTCCACAAGGAGCAGAAGGCCCCTACCTTTCATTGGGATTAATAACAAGAACAAAAGCACCTTTTCAATGACCTATCTCAATTCCAGACACTGTTTCTGAGAAGTCTCCTCCATCCATCTCTGATTTGAAGTGACCTTACATACAAATGCAACCCTAGGCTTGATATGTGTATGTATTGGTCTATGAGCAGTGCTAGTGGGTTATGACCTCTGCTCCATTCAAACCCTCTCTGGCCAGTTCAAGGTTTTGCTGGCCTTATTTTCTGTAGTTAATTACTCATATGTAGAAGGTTGTCTAATACCCGTCAACTCATTTGCATAACTGAGGCAGGCAAATCCATGACAGGACCTTAAGCTCCTTCCACCTGCCAAGTGCCTGTTCTCGGCTGTCTAATCCAATTTGATGCTTTTTTTGTGACAGAGTGTCTGTTATTTGGCATGTTTGCAGCCATTTCTACATACCAGGAAGAATGGATGCAGTGTTTACAAAAATATGACAATGGAAAATGTAGAAGTATTTTAAAAGGATGGAAGTTGGAAAGAGGAACAGATTTAAACGTAACTGTAGGAACTAACAGCTAAAACAATTTGCCTTTCACACAATTATTACCTATGAGAGCTTTTGAAATGCTGACTATTGATTGCAAGAATATGAAATGAGAGGAGACTCTCCTGGTTTGCTGGCCCAACCCTTGGTATTGTACTCAACAAACACTTTCCTTTTGGGCCAGATTCTACTAGAAAATAAGCTGATCCTAAATAATTTTCTATGAGGAAACCCAATATAATTCTAGGTAGATCTGTGAAATTCAGTGCCTCTCAGTACTCCAATACAGCTTTAAATTTTTCTAGACACAGAGTAAAATTCAGGATGTAGGATCATTTTAGCTCAAAAAGAAAAGGGAGGGAAGGAAAGGAGGAAGGAAGAAAGAAAGGAAGGAAGGAAGGAAGGAAGGAAGGAAGGAAGGAAGGAAGGAAGGAAGGAAGGGAGGGAGGAAGGAAGGAAAAAAGCCAACTTTCATGTTTTCTTTAAAATTTCAAATAAGTTAGTTACAAATAAATAGTGAGAAATATATTTTGAGTTGATTAAGAGATGATTTTAGGGCTGGAAGCTAGCTAAGCAGTCAGTAGCCCTTGTTGGTCTTCCAGAGGTCCCAAGTTCAGATCCCAGCACTCACATTAGATGGATCAGAACTTCCTGTAACTCTAGTTCCAGGGAATTCAATGACTTCTTCTGGCCTCTAGAGGCACCCAAACACACACACACACACACACACACACACACACACACACACACACACACACACACACACACACCAGTAAATGTGACAAGAAAAATCTTTTAAAATGCTTAATATCCTGGGCTATCTCAGCTTCCTGAGGGCTGGGATTACAGCTGTCCATCACGTCTAGCCACAGGACTCATTTTACACGGACAGTTATGGCAAAGGCTTTAATCTCATATTTAAACAAAACTACATTTTAGAAATTAGGACAGCATTTTTACTGTCTATAATTATATGAAATCAAGGATAAAGCTGAGGTGAGGGGAAAGCCAATGTGGAAGGCTTGCTGACTTCACAGACAAGAGATTTAGACTCAATCCATGGGACTTTTAAAAATCCTTTTATAGTTCATGCTCACTCCCCTCCCCCAACTCCTCCTAAATCCATTCCCTCTTTCCTACCCACCCAACTTTGTGCTCTTTTTTATTTTTTAATTGTTATGTGTATGGATGTTTTGCTTGTGTGCATATCTACAGACCACCCGGATGCCTGCTACCTAAGGAGGTCAGAAGAGGGTGTCAGATTCACCTGGTACTATAGTTGCAGATTGTTATGAGCCATAGTGTGGTGTCTGGGAAACAAAGCTGGGTCCTCTCTAAGAGTAGCAAGAGCTCTTTACTGCTGACATCTCTCTCTAGCCAAACTCACTTTAAACATAAAAAATCTTTAAAAACCATCAAGTATGCAATTTGTGCTGCTCATTTGCCTTTTAGTGTGTGGCCTTCCATTGAATGTGATTAGCCTACCAGGGGTCACACACATTAAAGAAAACTGACTCTGGTTCCAGCTATCAATGGCTAACAGCTCCTCACTTAGGGGTAAGACTTTGTGGCCTCTTCCCCACTCCACGATGGGATTTAGTGTGATCTGAATGTATGTAGGTCTTGCACATGCTGTCACAACTGCTGTGATGTCATATGTGCAATGGCTTTGGTGTGTCCAGAAAACACTTTTACCATTGTCATCCCCAAACCCCTCGCTCTTACAATCATTCTACCCCTCTGCTGCAAAAATCCCTGAGTCTTAGGAGAATGACCGAGAATTCCATAGTCTCTTACTCTCAACATTTTGACTGACTGTGGGTCTCTGTGGGCTGAGAAATGCAGTAAACTGATTAGATTGAAGATCTGCTCCACAAGTTGAAACCCATACCTGGCATCATTATTTGGGCCAAGAACCTGTGGCTAGACAGGTCATAGGCCCTAGGGAAGAACCTGCTATATTATTCTGCTATGTTGATCTAGCTTTAAACCAACTTCTAATGACTTTATCACCAGTCCCATAGTCAGTGTCTCTCTCAGTCCATTGGACTTTTAATGACACAACTTAGCAGGACGTGTTGAATGTGGGGTGAAAATGTAAAGGCCTGACACATTTAATCCCTGTAAGGAAAAAAAATGGAGAGAAGATTGAATTCAAATAAGAAAACTGATCATTTTACTCTTTATGGTATAGGCTAAGTATCCTTTATCTAAAATGTTTAGGAAAAAAGTCTTCCAAATTTTAGACATTTTCAGATTTTTAAATATGAGATATTTAGAGATAGAGCCAAGGCTAAACATGAAATTCATTTTTGTCTCTGATCTCTCATACATACAGAATCTGAAGATAACATGTGTGTGCCTGTGGTATGTGCATGTGTGTATATGAGCAAGCAGGTATAATTGCCTGCTTGCCTCACACACTTGCCCATGTGGGGCTCTTTCTTTGTCACTTCCACCTTTTTTGTTTGAGCCAAGGTCTCTCATGAACTTGCAGCTCTCTGTTTCAGCTAGACTCAATGGCCATCAACCCCAGTATCCTCATTTCTGACTCTCCAGCATCAGGGTTACCGATGTTTGCCCACACACCCTGCTTTTTAATTGGGCTCTGGGTTACCAATGGCCAATTTTAGGCAATCTTAAAAGCCAAGCTATCCCCAGGAAGGAGCATAGTTATAGAGGCAGAGAAAGGAGGGTAAATGATGGAGCCCAAGATTTGAAAATAAAAATAAGCCATGCCAACTACTGTGGATATTAACCACAGAAGATCTAAGTTCTATTTGGAAATGCTTCTTTGAAGCATATGAACAGGATATATTTGAGAAGTTGCTAAGGATCCTAGTTGTGGTAGTCAAGGAAAACTTACAAAGCCTTGAAGTAAGCGGTTGGGGGATCAGTACAAGACAATGGCTGTGAGATTTATTTAAGAGGCAGTGTCAAAACAATTTAGGAATAATGGAAGAGATTTAGAAGTCTCAGGTCCAATCTCTCCATTTTGCAGATAAGAAAACTGAAGACTTCACAAATTAACTTATTTGCTTACTTAAAACCTAAAGTTATGCTGGTCATGGTATCTTACAACTATATTCTCAGCATTCAAGGGACCAAGGAAGATCAGTAGGAGTTTGTGGTCAGCCTGGACTACAGAGTGACAGAGTGAGTCTCTGTCCCAAAGAAAGAAAGAATGACTGTAAGAGAGATGGGGGTAGGGAGTCAGCAAGCAAACAAGGAAGCTAGCAAACTAAATTTAACAAATGGCAGAAATAAGACAAATATTTGAAGCCACTACTTCCAGTGCTCGTGTGTGTGTGTGTGTGTGTGTGTGTGTTGCATTTACAAGTATGTGTGGTGTGTGAATGCATATGTACATGTATGTACATGCCTGTGGAGGCCAGAGGTTAAAGTGTTGAAAGTTTTGTGTCTTCTATCACTCTCCCCTTACTTTTTGAGCCAGGGTCTCTCAACAAATCTGGAGATTGTAGATTTAGCTGGACAACCTGCTCAGGAAGCCCTAAGGAGATTGCAGGCATGCACAATGGTGCATGGCTTTTACAAGGCTGCTAAGACTAAACTCAGGTCCTCATGTTTTTGTGGCAATACTTTACTGTTGAGCCATCTTTCTAGCTCTAAAGTAGTGTTTTCACAATACATTGGATGACTATGTGTATTGGAAAATTCCAGAGGAAAAGAGCCAGAAAAGTAACAATAAGACACCGCCATGAACTTTATGTTGATTTTCCTATAGAGGAGTAATATTATCTAGTATAGGTTTTCCTCAATAGTAAACAACTGTATAGATGATTTTGTCATAACATATTAATCCTCAACTGTAATCACAACAATAGTTAATCTTTAAACAAACTTATTTTAAGACAAATATTTTTTCTTTCCTCCTCCTGCTTGGTTGTAAATAGAAGACCAAATGTGGTGACTTGTCATCTTCTCATACAGCAGGGTGTTCTTCCATCCAGTACACTAGATAAGGTTTGTTTTTTTGTTGTTGTTATTGTTGTTTTTGTTCTTTGTTTTGTTTTAGCATTTTGTTTGTTGTTGTTTTCTCCATTTTTCATTTAAAATAGAGACGAGATTGTTTTATATGTCAATCCCAGTTCCCTCTCCCTCCCCTCCTCCCCTAACTCCCACTAACTCCCTATCTCATCCCCTTTCTGCTCCCCAGGGAGGGTGAGGCCTTCCATTGGGGATCTTCAGAGTCTGTCATATACTTTGGAGTAGGGCCTAGGCCCTCCTGTGGGTCTAAGCTGAGGAAGTATCCCTCTATGTGGAATGGTTTCCCAAAGTTCATTCCCTATGCTAGGGATAAATATTGGTCTACTACCAGAGGCCCCATAGATTTCCCAGGCCTCCTCACAGACACCATGTTTAGGGGGTCTGGATCAGTAGATGAGGTTTGTTAAGA